ATCAGAACCAGACACTGGGGTATGCCAACGAGGACGCTGGCTCCCAATGAGGATGGATTGTGAGATCCCCACATCGATTAGAGAGGAGAACAAATCATTTCTTATAAGGATCTGGAAACCTCTCTTCTCTCTAGTAGACAACTTTGAGGAAAAGCCCGGAAGGAAAAACCCAAAAAGGACAATATCGGCTAGCGGTAGGCTTGGGGATTCGGCTGTTACATTTGGTCACTGTTTTAGAGCCTTCTCGACATACCTGGGACTTGTCAATTGTGAGTTTGGCCTTGTCTTTTCTATTAGAGATTCAGACGAACAATATGGTATCTTTCTTCATTTAGCGTTCCTAGAAAGAACAGATAAGAATTTCGGAATATATATGTCTTCTAGTTTCTTGTCACGGTAATTTGCATTCTTCTTAAACGTCCATGGGCTCTGTACAACACTGTTCATCTGTTATCTATGTTCTTCGACAGATGGTTGAATGAGGTGAATACTCATGAAAGCTAAATTCTAATTGCATTTTAATGCATGACATCTAAGTATCTCTCTCGTTCTATGAATCCATTCCTGGCAAAAATAGATTCATATTGTAATATCCCAAGCCTACCGTTAACAGATATTGTCCACTTTCGCCCCGTTACGTATTGCCGTCAACCTCACGATTTTGAAACGCGTCTGTTAGGGAGAGGATTCCACACCCTTACCAGAAATGTTTTGTTCCCCTCTTCAACTGATGTGGGGTCTCACAATCCACCGCTTCGTTCCCCTCTCCAGCTGACGTGAGATCTCACAATCCACCCTTATAAGGAATTTTTCACACCCTTACAAGAAATGCTTCGTTCCTCTCTCCAACTGATGTGGACAATCCACCCTTACAAGTAATGTTTTGTTCCCCTCTCCAGCCAATGTGGGATCTCACAACATCTTCATCTTCATATCTTCATATCTAGAACATTATGTCGAAAGATCTAGAAATATCCGAGGAGATCCTCGTTGGTGATTATACTGGGTTAATCATTGTGGAAAATGGTTATTTGAGCGCCGTGTGTTCCTGTATATCATATCAAAACTCAACTCGATCGAATAATTTGCAGCTTAGCCTTTTTTAAATATATATGCATGCTGATAAACCCATTAGAAGATTTGAGTATATATGCTGTAGGCTTTACTTATTCCACTTTTTATGCTTAAAATTCTGCATTCGTTGGCAATAACACCAGAATTTCTGACGTTCTTGGGCTTTTAATGCAGAAGTTGTGCAGGTGCCAAAGTAGGGAAGACTGCCGAGTGAATTGAGTTGACTTGAACAGTCGGTGTGTTTGTACGTGGTGAAAATATTTCGTAACCTTTGTGGATGAACAAAGAACTGTATGTATGGTCAGACATTGATTTCCATTTGTGTGTTCTCACATTACTGTTCATATAAATAGTACATACATGTTTGTTATATCCATCTCGTGTTCTTTTAGTGCATTCTTCTATGTTTTGAGCCCTCCTCTGAGATGAATATCATATAATAGGAACTCAAATGATGTAAATTCATTGCATCCCATTGTTAAAATGAAATATTTGGACTTGTTAGAGTTCAACAGATACACAGATTGCTAGCACAAAGGGGTCTGATGTATGCTCGAAGTGCCTGTAACTAATGTCAAAATGATGGTGATGTTGAGTACTGCCGTTTGCTTTCATTAGGGGACAGGGCAGGGACATGTCCTTGCTGAAGCTTGGATGGTCTAGATAAGACTAACCCTTGCCCTCTGTGGCTTTGACAGGTCTTCCTCCTTCATTTGCGATTTGGTCTTGTACCATGCTCGAACTGAGACGTGTTGGAACCATCTTTCGTGGCATTAGGTAACAGCTCAAACTCACTATTCATAGATATTGTCTGCTTTGACCCGTTATGTATCGCCATCAGCTTCACGATTTTAAAACGTGTATGGTAGGGAGGAGTTTTCACACTCTTATACAAAATGTTTGTTTTTCCTCCAACTAATGTGGGGCCTTACTCCCTTAGGGCCGTTACAAATAGTATCAGAGCCAGACATTGGACGATATATCAGCGAGGATGCTAGACTCTCATGGAGGTGGATTGTGAGATCTCACATGTGGGCGATGGTGGCCGGTAGCAGACGGGTCATCACAGTTGGTATTAGAGCAAACGTATCATCGTCATTGTGAGCAAACGTAAAGAGCAGCCGACAAAACATATGAGTGAAGTTGTTAGGTAAAAAAAAAAAAAAGAAGCAATTATAGGGTAAGAAAATTAAACCATTAATATTTTAGTATGAAGGTTTTTGGTCGTATAATATAAAAACCAAAATTGTTGGATTGGGGAAGAATCGAGAATGGAACGGCACGTACGCCTTTTTCTCAACAGGCTCTCATTTGCTTCAATCGCCATTGCCTCTCTCACCCTCCTCCTCCTCTTCCTCCAAACCCCACAAACCTGCATTCCCCCAAATTCCCCTCCAAAATCCCATCTCAAATTCCCCAAATCCTCCTGCGATTCCACACCTCGCCAGATCCTCTCCGTCGACAAGAAGAACAAGCGCCTCTGGTCCACCAAACACTGGCACAACAACCTCTCCTCCTTCCTCCATTTCTTCCACGCCCTTCGCGATCTAGGGCTTCTCCATAACCACACCAAAGTCCTCTGTGTTTCCGCCGGCGCTGGCCACGAGGTCATGGCGCTCTCTCAGATGGGAGTTCTTGATGTCACTGGCGTCGAATTGGTTGATTCGCCTCCTTTGGTAACTCGTGCTGATCCGCATAATTTGCCGTTTTTTGATCATGCTTTTGATTTGGCGTTTTCTGCTCATTTGGCTGAGGCGTTGTTTCCGTCTCGATTTGTGTCGGAGATGGAGAGAACTGTTCGTCCTTATGGATCCTGTGTGGTCGTTGTTGAGGAATGTGGTGATGATGAAGTTAGGGAGATTGTTGGATTGTTTACGAAATCGCGATTTGTAAATTCCGTCAATGTTACGTTAACCGGGTTGAAAATGACTCGGATTCTAATGAAAAGAGTTTCTTCTCGGTAGATTGTTCTTTCGATTTCTTAATTTCCGTTTCGATTTCCATTTTTGGATTGTATGAAATGAAACCCTGATTGTACAGAAATTACAGACGATAATTTCCTGAGGTTGATTTTGTGTGTTCTTTATCCTGTTTCTTTTCAATGTGAATTCTGAATCAGAACAGATGTTCTAGTGAAATTGGATTGAATTTCAACTAATTGAAGAGATATCATCTCGATGTATGAGGTTAACCGGCGATCTCGAGCGATCGGGAAATTCCATGGATTACACAGTTCCCTGACCGGAAACTCACCGGCGAGACAACCTCCACTCCATTAACGACCACCGTTCCTCTCAGAGCCCTAATTCCTCCGACAAGAAGGATAATTGTTTCGTTAACGAGAGAGACAGAAGAACGTCAAAAGAATCCTCAAATTACAAAAACAAAATAAAGGAAGGAATAAAATTCCAATCAGTCGATATGTCCGAGTGGTTAAGGAGACAGACTCGAAATCTGTTGGGCTTCGCCTGCGCAGGTTCGAATCCTGCTGTCGACGATATATTTCTCTTTTTTTTTTTTTTTTTTGCTAT